CCCCACCCCCCCTACTTTTCTAAAATCAAAAAATTTTGTATAATTTTCTAAAATTTTTGTAAATTTACCTCATTCTTTTCCAAATTCACAATTATTTATGTAAATTAACTTTCTCTGGGCCCAGAAATTACCTGAATTTGTGTTCATTTACCTGAATTTCTTCTGCAATTCTACCTGGATTTACCTGAAATTGCCCACATGAGCAATTATTGGGAGGGGGGTGTTACCCCCACACCCCCAGTCGGTACGGCCCTGGGCCTGCACGATACTGTTTTGTGAAACTGAAAACTCCTACCAAGTTAAATATGACGTCATCTTACCTTGGTGAACAATTTTGTAGATAAAATTTGCGCGCGCACCTCCGACGCACTCGCTATCATCTTGAGAACATGGTCGAAACTCTGCATTAAAACATTTGTCTGTACTTGGACCATCTCTGCCATAGTGTGGTTCTGATTCACTACTGGTCCAGCATTCTGCGTAATACTGAAGACCAATATAGTGGTAACCTTGTAACTGTGCTTTTACTGCGCAGTCGCATAACAGTCTAAACACAGAATACAGAACCAGGTAGTTAAAACATTACAGCACAACGTCATTACGCAAAATGTGCGTCTCTAACTAAGGCCCAGTTACTAAGGCCCGCATTCGTTTACTACTTCGAGGTGAATTTGGCACTTAAAATGATGATAATATAACATAATTTTAAAAAAACTTCAAATATGAAAAGTTGTAAGAGCAGACAAGACTGGAAAACACCTTAAATTTATGTCGCTCCGATACGAATCCGGTATCGTGTAACTGGGGCCTAAATGCGCAAGCGTTGTAGGTAATCATTAAGGCTATTTTCCATTGCAGTCTTTAGTTTTGCGCGGGCGGAGCGAACATTACTCAACTTTCTCTGTAGTTGCCTAACCTGTGCATTTTTTGTCCGCCTGACTGCTCGCGGACAAGCCATGATGAAAGTAGAACTACACACATAAAAACGCACAACTTGTAACAAGTCTGCCAACAATCCGTTCACACTGCTTGTCACAAGTTGGCAATTCAACAGGTTTGGAATAACTTGTAACAACCTTGTCGAAATTATCAGACTTGTTGCAAGGTTGTTCTGACAAGTCCGTTACATGCTTGATATAACAAGATTGTTACAACCTTGTGTTAACAACCTTGTAACATCCTTGTTATATCATGGCTGTAAGTCTTGTAACAAGGCTGGTAATGCCATCAAGCTTGTTACAAGTTGTCAACAGCTTGTTTCAAACTTGTTCCAACAAACTGAGAACAAGCAAGTGCGAACACAACTTGTTGACAGCTTGTGAACAGATTTGTAACAACTTGTTACAACTTGTGCGTTTTTACGTGTGTACATTCAACTTTCTTGGCGTACCCGCGCGACTGATTTTTCACGTGATGAAAATTGGCTGCTCCACCCGCGCGGGCAGATGGAAAATGGCCCTCACAGGCCTTACTATGCATGATCATTATACCGTGGCAGAGCAACCTCTTGTTCTTCGTGGTTGTATGGTATTCGACGATAAACAAGCAATTTATCAAGTGGTCGACTTTTATCAATAAAACATCCAACTCTTTCGACTTTAACCTCGCACGTGTAACCTGTAGAAAATAGAAGCTACCATTGGTTAGAAACACTAAAAGAACACGCCCTACCCGCAGAACACGCACGTGTTTCTTAATGTTATGCCTTCGATAAAACTGAAAAAATTAGAAAACTAGTAGATATAAAACGTCTTGTAATCAAGAGATGAATATGCGTGTAGCCAATTGATAAATTTGATCCACATGCAGCTGAACAAATAACGTCAAACGCATACTTTTTTATTAAGATTTAAGATTGTGAAAGAAATTTCTAGTTTCTATACGCTCTTTCCAATCATTTTCCCCAGCTTTTTTGCGATATAATCGACATTAAACATTCGTTTGAGAAAATTCCTAATTGATACCACTATAGAAGTAAAACAATCTTTTCAACAAAAATATAAATCTTCATTCATTAGTTTTCTATTAAGTGAAGTACTTGCTCATCAACATATACTAAGAGCCTGAGATGTTTGCAATGTCTTCGATGGCCTCACGCAGACATGAAGATTGTGAGAGCGAAGTGCGCAAAATTATGTACGCTTTACTTCGATCATAAAGTTAGAAATAAAAATTGACCAATTGCAATAAAATAATATTTTAACATACCCTTGGCATTGTTAACTAGCTGTGCTATATAAAAAATAGCAAGTACAAATGATGGGTAATCCATTGCAAAAATATCGTCCGCCAATAGACTGAAGATGCTCCTTTTAATAACCAGTGCTTAATAAATTGAAAGCTTCTAGAATGTCTCTTTTATGTATACTGTCTGAAAAGTATTTTAATTAACGATTGTTCTATTAAGCAAAGTATTATTTAATTAATTTGTGTAATCGGCTTTCGAATTTCGGGGTATTTTTTTACCATTTAGTTTTCGGCGAGTGAAAACAAAAGGACTCAGAGGTTTTATTGGATCGATCTGTTCATCCGCAGTATATTCCCTAGGCCATGCACCATTTATTTGGCTGCTGCGGCATTCAATTTAAATCCTTAATGAATTATTTTCAGTATTGTTCTTTTCCGTGGGAAGTATTTATCGAGTCATTAAAGGATATTATGATAATGATAGAGTAATTTATTGCTGATATTATATGAATATATTATAACAATCATGCACATTTTTCGGAATTTTTGAGCAAAGAATGCCAAAGATGGAATCGGCTGGCTAGTTAGGCAGAGTTAAATATATCTGGTCAACCCATTAAAGAGGGTCCTGAAGGGGGGTCGTATTCCCATTTCCCAGCCCAAATTTTGACTAAATCCCATTGTCCCAGAGCACAAATCCCATCATCTCAGTGGCTGTCCTGCTCAAATCTTAATCCCATTCCCATTTTCTATTGTTTTTTTTTGCTGATGAATCCCAGTCCCAGTGCATGAAATCCCATTTTCCCACCCAAAAATATGCAAATCCCAGGTCCCATTTTACCCCTTCAGGACCCTCATTAAACATAATTTGGTTGATGCCCAACACTTTGAAATAATCTATCGTCTAGACGTCTACTGCAATATAACAGTTTCACACTGACAGAAGGTAACAAGACTCTTGCTTAAATCCTAGTACACAGGGTGTCCCAAAAAAAACCAAACCATTGAAACAACGTATTGTTAAAATCTGAATGCCCGAATGTAGCACTAAGCTGAATGCAAAGATGCGTCAAATATTGACAAGGGTGCATATATTAAATATTGACTTATTAAGAAATTAAAATATCTTTGTAAAGCGCACGATTTTAGTCTGCTCTTGGGAATTTAAAGCGGCTTCTTAAATGAAAAACATGGATAGAATTTTGGAAATATTTATTGCTTATATATATTTGACCAGTATTTTAGCATACACTTCTCCTTTTACATGATAACATTTGAGATATCATGCCCTTGTATAATAAAAATAGCTCTTGTTTTTTCGTTGTTGCAAAATAAAGTATTTATACTCAATATTATCTTATCCGCTGACCGTCTGAGAGAAAAGGCTCAGCACTGTGATCCATCTAGTTGGTAGACTACAACTAGATAGCTCAGTTGGTAATTCCGTATTTCTATTGGTCAAACACTTTCCCGCTAATTTTATCGCCAGTTTTCAGTAAACACAACACAGTTCGAAATATACTTGAGATAATTTGGCTTTGATATACAATATTCTTTATATATAAATATTAAATGTGTATTACATATGGTGCATGTACAGTATAAATGCTGTGCTGAGTAGTTATATTACTACCTTAAAAAATAAGCAGAAACTCGACGTTTCGAGCGAAGGCCCTTCGTCAACCCATTGTCACGTGATGCTTTCATACTCTTAGTATAAAAGCCTGTGCATTTTCCCCGATCCCTGCTACTAACTCTCGACGAATTAAGGGCCTTCGCTCGAAACGTCGAGTTTCTGCT